CATGTCACCCACTCCTCCCCTTGCACCCCGCTTCCATTTCTGCTGGGTCTCCTCAGCCCCTGCCCTTTCAGGCCCCCTATTTCTACAGCCCCCCACTTTCCCACCGTCAGGCTCTGCCCAAGCTATCCCACAAGCCTGGAGCTCCTCCCATGGTCCTAAGTAAGCCTCGCTCTGGTCCTCCAAAGCCCAGCTCCTTCTTCCTCGGAGCTGTCTTTCCCTCGGGGCCCTCCTGTCCCTCCCCTCTCCCGTCACCCTCCCCACTGCCCTGCTTCTTATCTAGGAAGGACAGATATGAGAAGAGCAGAGGCTGAACTTTGACCCTACAGAAGTTCAGAGACTCTGAGGACCCTTGTTCACAGCTTTCACCCCCTGGAGGGCAGCAGTCACAGGACAGGGGATTGTGTCCTTGCTACCCTGGTCTGACTGCCTCTTTCCCTCTGCCGCATTCTCCTTTCTCATTGGCCACTACTCCTCCCTATGCCCCGCCCACTCACCTTGGCCTTCCCTGCTCTCTTTCTTGGTATCTGAGTCAGCTTCTACCCCCCCCCACACACAGCACACACACACACACACACACACACACACACACACACACACACACACCGATCCCTCCACTGCTGTTCACTCTGTCCCTCTGGGTGCCTGCCACCACTCCCTGTCCTGCCTTTGTCTCTGCAGCAGGAGGTGGCTGTGGGTGAAGTCACATCTCTCCGGCGGGGCCCCACCTCATCTAGTAAGAGCCAGAGTCCCTCGATGCACACACCATACCCCACACTGGGTGTCCCCTTCCTCCGTCACCTCCTCACGGTGTAAGCCACCATTCCCACCGCCCTTGTTCCAGGCACTGGCCGCTTCTGCCGCTCCTGCCACACGTCCTTTGCCCTGGCTGTCCTTCTGTATGGAAGAGTCTTCCTCGTAGCAGGAACCGCTCCTTTCCTTGCCTCCTTCAAAACATTTTTTTTGTTTTTTTTTTTGTTTTGTTTTTCGAGACAGGGTTTCTCTGTATTGTTTTGAAGGCTGACCTGGAACTCGCTCTGTAGACCAGGCTGGCCTGGAGCTCACAGAGATCCGCCTGCCTCTGCCTCCCGAGTGCTGGGATTAAAGGTGTGCGCCACCAACGCCCGGCTTCCTTCAAGTATTTGCTTAGATGTTGGCTGCTTTAAAAAAAGAAAAAAAGCACACTTGCTGGGTGTTGGTGGCGAACACCAGGTCCCTTTGAGAACCTCTACTGTCTGTAATCATCACTTTCCAACATACGTAACATTTTCTTTTCTTTTTTGGAACAGGATTTATGTAGCCCAGGATGACCTCAGACTCTCCACTATCCTCCTGCCTCAGCCTCCCTTGTGCTGGGATTACAGGTGGGCACGGCTGTAGCGAATTTAATCTTTACTGTTCCTTTTCTTCCTTGTAATCCTGTTTCCCACTCCAATCTCAGGCCCACACAGGCGGGTTTGTCTTTCCTGGGCATGGCTTTGTTCTCAGTGCCTGACACACACTCGGCACGTTAGGAATCTTGATCTCAGAGTGAGCCGGGGGTCTTCCCGGGAGGCAGAGGAAAGGACAGTGGCTGGGGAGTGCAGCTCCCTTGTAGAGCCACCAAGCCTTTCGGGACTCCTGTGTGTAACTTGTAGAAGTCAGTCAAGGGCTCAGTAAGCCCCTCCCCCACGAGAGCGTCATTCCCACCCTAATTCCATTTATGGGTTTTTCCAAGCAAGGCTTCATTTCTCTGTCACACTAACCCCAGAGGCAGCAGAGCCCCCCCCTCTTTTTTTTTTTTTTTGGCCTGTGAGAAGAAGCAAGGTAGCCGGGAGACTCCACACAGAGACTCCATTTCCCAGGAAGGCTGCCACAGCGCTCTGGGGTTGTAAAGGGCACCCAGGTAGGGGGTGGGGGTGAACGGATAGCAGTGTCTGGCCGACAGAAGGCGGCACCAGAGAGCCGCCTGTGAGGGGATTGTGTGGCCAGGAGGGAGTCACCCCGCCTCCTCCCTGGCCCTGCAGTGCCAGCCTGGGGCAGCCCCTCTCATCTTGACCCTCTGGCATCTCCCAGAAAGATCCCCCTTTCCTCCCTAACTCCCCAGCAGCGGGGAGGTAGAGCTGCTAATCTCCTGCCGCAGCGGGAGATGCCCCACCCGGTCCTCATATTCTGGCAGGTAAAGATGTTAGAGCTGTAAGGGTGAATCAAAGTGTGGGGTCTGTGGGAGTTGAGCCTCACAATGCAATGCCTCTCACCTCTCCTTCCAAGCCCCAAGGCCTCTGGGTAAACGTGGGTATGAGTCACCACCCAGGCAGGGTCAAGGAACTAATGGGAAACACCTCACAAGCTGTAATGGGCTGTGAGAATAAAAAAACTTCCACACTGAGTCATTCGGTGTATATTCTAAGGCATGCATAGACCTGGGGGAGGGATGGAGAGAGCAGTACGGTATCTCAGCCTTCTCCAGAAAGTTCCTAATGGAAACCCAGAGAATTGGTTTTCAAAATAACCCAAACAAGCCTACCAGAATATGTTTTCAAATTAGGAAACTTCAGGGTCACTGACATCATCAGAACTGAAAAACCTTGAACTTTTGAACTAAGCTGGCCTTTGGCGGCAGTCCCTTCACCTGGGTATATGCCTGTGGTGAAGGCACGGGCCTTGGTTCCTCCCCTCCCCTAATTATTTGGACTAACTGTAGGCATTTCGGGCAGATTGGGATGGGGATGGGTCAGGTATCTGGCACTCGGGAGCCACAGAATACTGAGTGTTACACAGCTCAGGTGGAAAGGTATCCTGGAGCTCGGGAGCCAGGGACTACCACAGGTTGCAGTAAGCTTAGCTGCGCCTTGCCTCAGGGAAGGGCTTCCCCAGTGTATCGGCTCCGCTCCCACAGGACAGGGTCTTCCAGCTGGGGATGTTCCCCAGTGTAGCAGTTTTGCTCCGTAGGAGGTTTCTTGGCGAAGTTGCTACAGTTCAGCTCTAACTCTGCTCTGCCAAGGGAAGTCAAGTGTTACAGCCCTGCTCGCTCTGCTCTGCTCTGCTCTGCCCAGGGTCACATTTGCTCCGTCGCCACCACAAAAGAAGATCTTCACCCAAAGGTCACCCAAGGGGTTTATTGGGAGGGAAGGATCCAGGAGAGTGGCTGCCCTCTGCCAGAGTGACAGAAGACAGCCAAGTAGCGCGAACAGACGCAAGCTGACCAGACACGGGGTTTATATAGGGCTTCCAGGCTGGGGATTGGTCAGATTTTAGTGCTGAGCTCAGATTGGCTAGAGCTCTGCTCAGGGATTGGTTAGTTTTCTGCACAGGTTAGGGTCAGATTTGGCTCTGGTTTCAGGGCCAAAGTGTGTTTCTTTCTCTGGTCCTTTTTAGCCTTTTGGCTCCAATTTTAGGGCCAGGGTGCATTTGTTTCACTGACTCTGATTCCAGGGACAAAGTGTGTTCCTCTGGCACTGGTTTCAGGGTCAGGGCACATTTCTTTGGTTCTGGTTGCAGGGCCAAAGTGTGTTTCTTTGGCTCTGCTCAGGGTGTGTTTCTTTGACTGGCCCCTTTTCCCTACACCAACCTGTGGTGTTGAGGTGGGGGGAGGCTTATTATCTTGCCCTAGCCATCCTGGCATTTGGAGGAGGTAGACTGCAGACAAGAGGTTCCAGGCTCCCTGGGAATGTCTTCAGCTTATCTCTAAAGTCCCTAGGAGCCTAGGCCTCCCAACAGCCCCAGGTCGCACTACAGACGGCGGAGCCCCTTGCTCACTTCATGGATTTGTGCCGAGCCGGGCTGGAAAGGTAGACACATTTTATAACAAGGGCATGGCGTCTTCCCAGCAAAAGGGCTGTGGTCCCGACCCCGGCTCCCCGAAGGACTGCAGACCTAAGTCCCGACCAGAGAAAGGAGGACTCGCTCCAAAGCACACAGAGCCTCTGCTCATCTCAGCGGCCCAGAGGACAGTCTCTGGTCAGCGCCAACGATGTGTGCTGCACCCCATCAGGCACACCCTAACTTTCCAGAGGCCAGTGGGAGAGGGAGCTTCACCCCCCAGGGTGGGCCTCGCGGTCCTGCTACGCACACCCCCAAAACTAGGAAACTCCCAAGCTATGAAGGCATGTAAATGAACTCTTAGGTTCGGATGTATGGGAGATGTGGGGGGCGCCTTTGAGGAGAGCAGGGCACCCAGGAAGCCAGTCCCCATCTCCCAGGGGTCCCAGGAAGCTTTGGGGGCTCGGGTTCAAGCAGGAATCCCCACGCAGCGAACTGGGGGCGCGTCGAAGGGAGAGGAGACTCAAGAGGGGGAAGGGACAAAGTTTGAAGCGTCCCTTCCAACTCTTCCAGGGAAAGTTTCCTTGAAGGCCCCGGGGACAGAGAAGGCTTAGGGGTGCTGGGGGGCCTGCGGCCGGGTGACCCCCAAGAGGTGGCCGGACCCCGGGGAGACGACCCCTCCCCCCTTGTCCCGACTCGGCCCGGCTGGGAGTCGCCCAGCTCGGGGCGGCGTGTGTTAGTTGGGGCCGCTTCTGCCCTGTTCCGCCAGGCTGGGGGACCCCGCAGCGGGCCGGGAGTGGGAACTCTGGTAGTCCCAGGGGTGAGCTTTCCTACGGGGGGTCTCAAGCCCGGGGGCTCCCGGGCCCCGCAGAGCCAGCCCCCCGCAAAGGGGAAATGTGCCGGCGCCTCAGCGCTCCTCGGCGCAGTTTGGGGCTCGTGGCGGGCGCGGGGGACAGCGGCCGGGGCGCCTGGGTCCCCAGCGGGGAAGCCTAGGGAGCCGGGCAGGGACCCCGAGAGACAGCGGGCAGCGGGAGGGCCTGGAGCGCCGGGAAAGGTCGGGTTTGCTCGGCGGAAGAAACACAGATGGCGGCGGCGCGGCGCCATTCCGGGCCGGGAGCAGGCAGCCAGCAGCCCAGTCCTCACCGCGGTCCGCCCGCCGCCGCTAAATACCCGGATGCGCCGCCCGAGCGCCAGACGCAGAGCTGGGAAAAGGGAGGCCGAGGAGGCGGAGGCAGCGCCGGGCGCCGGACGAGCGGCAGAGCGGTGGGGGCTGGGCCGCGCAGAGCAGCCCGCGAGCCCGCAGGCGACCCGCGCCGGGGAGGACAGGGGCCGTGCGTCGCCCGCGTCTGGCCTGCTAGGCGAGCGGGAGAGCAGACCCCGGCTCGGGTCGCGCCCAGCCAACCGCGAGGGCTGGCCCTTCGGAAGGCTCTTTCAACAGCAGGCGCAGGCCGGCCACCATGACCGAGAACTCCACGTCCGCCCCTGCGGCGAAGCCCAAACGGGCCAAGGCCTCCAAGAAGTCCACTGACCATCCCAAGTATTCCGATATGATCGTGGCTGCCATCCAGGCAGAGAAGAACCGCGCCGGCTCCTCGCGCCAGTCCATCCAAAAGTATATCAAGAGCCACTACAAGGTGGGTGAGAACGCCGACTCCCAGATCAAGTTGTCCATCAAGCGCCTGGTGACCACCGGGGTTCTCAAGCAAACCAAAGGGGTGGGCGCCTCGGGCTCTTTCAGGCTGGCCAAGGGCGATGAGCCCAAGAGGTCGGTGGCTTTCAAGAAGACCAAGAAGGAAGTCAAGAAAGTGGCCGCTCCAAAGAAGGCAGCCAAGCCCAAGAAGGCTGCCGCCAAAGCCCCGAGCAAGAAACCCAAAGCCACCCCTGTCAAGAAGGCCAAGAAGCCGGCTGCCACGCCCAAGAAAGCCAAAAAGCCCAAGACTGTCAAAGCCAAGCCAGTCAAGACAACCAAACCCAAGAAGGCCAAACCCGTGAAGCCCAAAGCCAAGTCCAGTGCCAAGAGGGCCAGCAAGAAGAAGTGACAACGACGGCTTTGCTTGTGACACTCCTCCCTCCCTCCTGTTCTCTGTAAATACATTTCTCTCTTGATCCCTTCTGCAGCCCTTTGCCCATTCTATCCTGACTTTACAAAAAGGACAGTTCGGATTCCTCAGACAGACATTGGAACGATTCCCCTTTCCTTAGCCCATTGTGCAAGGACAGCCACAGACCTCATCTTTGAAATGATGAAGATGTACTCTTTTTTTTTCCCCCTGTTTTGATATTTAACCTTATGGGGTTAGGGTGGGGGTGGGTGTTTCGTTGGGAGGTTTGTTTACTGTGAAGGCAAATGGAACTGGCAAAGTTCTGGCTAGATGAGGGGACCTAGGAACTGAAGTTTGTCTTTTTAAGGCTTTAAGCTGCTCATCCATCCCTTGTGAGAGCTTCGGGACCTTTGGTGCAAAGCAGAGGGTGACCCCCCAGGGAGGGGGGAAATATCCCTGGGCTGCCCTGAGCAGTGGTGAGCCGCTGGGGACCTGGGTTTTCTTGTCACATAACCCATTGTCTACAGGGGAAAAGGGGTCCAGGTGACAGCTGGTTGGAGAAACCCTTGCTTCTCACAGTCAGGGTGTAGCCATTGAGGAGGGAGGGGGGTCTTTTCAGCAGTCTCTTGTTAAATGGGAGTGGACATAGGGGGAGGGTGGGGGAGTCAGCCAAGTGCCTCCGTGTGCCTGTGGAAACTTGGGTTTTTTTCCACACGATTGAAGATTTGTGTCCTAGGAGGACTTTGTTCTTTTCTTTTTCCTTCCTGTACGAGATGTGGCTTTGCTTGGTGCGGCTTCGGTTTTACCAGCTGCCACGTAAAACTCCAACTGCTTTTACTGTTTGAACCTTTCCTAAGTAGCCCAGGAGGGGGAGAGGCAGGGAGTGCACTGTAAGACACAGTTGATTTGAATTTGCTAGGTAGCTTTAGAGAGCCAGGATTGTGTGCATGTGTGTATATGTATATATCCATATCTAAGACTAGTACTTAGTCTCACTTCGGGAGCTGGGAGAAAAAACCTGTACAGTTGTCTTTCCCTTATTTTAATAAAATAGGAAACTCGCGCCCCTTTCCCCTTTTTAAACAAGTGTTATAATTGCCGGAAAAAAGTTGCTGTGGTTGTCATTTTAAAGTTTAAAATAATAAAACTGGAAAAAAATCTGAGTGGTGCGTTTTCCTCAACCGGAGGAGAGTAGCAATCGGATGGGTAATGTGGGGGAGAGCTGGCGCCACGTTAGCGCCGGGAAAAAGCGAAGCTTTGGGGAGAGACTAGAACCCTGGACCGGCAGGAGGCGGTCGGCGAGGCACGGTGGCGGGTCCTCGGGAGAGGCGGGTGTGTGGGGAGGGGATGCCCTGAAGTCGCTTCCCCAGCGCGGACCTCCCGGGGTTTGACTTACAAATCAATCCACTTTCGTCGCCTGTAGGTGGCGTCAGGCTCCGCCTGCGGGCAGGACCGCCTCACCAGCCCCTTAAAGAAAGCTCCCATTGCTCCAATTGGCTGTCGGGGCCCTGCCCACGCCACGTGACAGGGCGAGCTAGGCGGCTGGCTGGCAGGCGCATTCATTCCGTCCCGTGGGCGCGATGTGGGTCAGCAGCGTGTGGCGCGCGAAGTTGTCACCCGGCCGCCGCGCGCACTCAGCGTTGGCGCAGCTGCGCGGCATCGTAGAGGGCGAGCTGGAAGGGATCCGCGGGGCTGGCACCTGGAGGAGTGAGCGAGTGATCACGTCCCGCCAGGGACCGTGCATCCGCGTGGATGGTATCCCCGGAGGTAACTTCCCCTGCTGGGGGGTCATCGTATCTGGCCAGGTGGCCAAGAGCCCTTCCAGGACTTGCATGCAATGGAGGCCCTAGGGTGGATGCGGGGGAGGCACATGCATGCATAGTCTCCTTCCAGACTCTCAGGCACACTATGGCGTCCTAGAGTAAACTCCACCTGTTTAAACCTGTTTCGACGGAGGGAGGTGATTTGCCTGTCAGCACCTTTTGGGCCCCGGGGGTTGGGGGGTTGTGCTGCAAAGAGACCCAACCTTGTGAGAAAAAGAGAGCGCTATCCAGCTGCACTGGTCTCCTACGCCCTGCTTCCAGAAAGAGTGATTAGACAAAAACCCTCATTCATTCACTGAGCCCAATGTGTAAAGGTTACCAGTTCCTAAGTCTTTATTCCTGATGAAATATGCATGAGAGACAAGTTCCTTTTTTTTTCCGTCTTAGTTTTTCGAGACAGGATTTCTCTGTGGATCCCTGGTTGTCCTGGGATCCACTCTGTAAATCAGGCTGGCCGTGAGCGCCTGCCTCTGCCTCCCCAGTGCAGGGATTACAGGCTTGTGTCACCACTTTGGGGCTAGAGAGACCAATTCTCATTGAAAGGAAGCACGCCTTTAAGCCTACCACTCAGGAGGCAGAGGCAGGCGGATCTTTGCGAGTTCGTGGCCAGCCTGATCTACAGAGCTATAGGGATCCAGGGCATCCAGGGCTACACAGAGAAATCCTGTCTCAAAAACCCAAAGCAAACAAATAAATAAAAATAAATCAGAGAGAAAGGAAGAAGGTGAAATGCAAGCAGATTTCCCCAGAAATCTGGGGAAACACTGGCTAGCTCCAGTGTCACAGGATATTGGAATGGAAGGTCAGCTTCCACCAGAGAGGTTAAAGTTTAAGCAAGTAAGAGGGTTAGGTCTGCAGAAGTACCTGTGTCTGCCTGTCTTCTCCTAAAGAGGACTAGAGAGTGACGAAACTGCTTTCCCCACGTGACTTCAGAGAGAGAGAGACAACAGGCTAGGGTGTGATTCAGGGGCACAGTGCTTGCCCAGCACACCTAGGGCTGTGAGTTCAGGTCCCAGCACTCACACACCACAAGCAAAGATGAGACATTTAGATAACCAAGTTCTTAGACTCTTTGTGCTGGCCCCAGGTCATGAGCTGTCCCTTCCTCAGGCCGAAATTCCCTGGGGCCAACTGTATTAACTTTTTTTTTTTTCCAGACAGGGTTTCTCTGTATTGTTTTGGAGGCTGTCCTGGAACTCTCTCTGTAGACCAGGCTGACCTCAAACTCACAGAGATCCGCCTGCCTCTGCCTCCTGAGTGCTGGGATTAAAGGCGTGCACCACCACCGCCAGGCCTGTATTAACTTTTTAAGATTGAAAACTGAGGTCTCAGAGACACCCCTCTGGAGATGCAACTCCTGGGCAGCAGATGAGTGAGCATTGGCAGCCTCTTTCACAATCAAGAAAAGCAAAACCAAGATGATGATGGTTTGACCCTGTGAGGAAGGTCTGGGACCCTCTCAGATGGGATGTTATTCATAGCCAGGTTTGAAACATTACATCCTTCAGCCGGGCGAGTTCCAGGACAGCCTCCAAAACAATACAGAGAAACCCTGTCTCGAAAAACCAAAAAAAAAAAAACCATTACATCCTTCAAGGCAGAGAGGGACAAACTTCTCCTCACCCTCCTGCACTGTGGCAGTGGATTCAAAGCCTCTGGCTTCTCCCCAGAATGGGTCATGTGTGCAGCTGTCTGCCTCTCAAGGGCAAATCCAAGTTGACTTCCCGCTGGCCCCAGTCCCGGGCCTGACACTGTGGTCCTTGCAGGCCCTTCTTTGCTCTCCTGAACTGTATTGTTGGTCTTCTCCACTTCAGGAATCCTCAACTTCTGTGCCAATAACTACTTGGGCCTGAGCAGCCACCCTGAGGTGATCCAGGCAGGCCTGCAGGCTCTGGAGGAGTTTGGAGCTGGCCTCAGCTCTACTCGCTTCATCTGTGGCACCCAGGTACAGCAGGTGTTGAGCGGCCCTGGCCCCAGCTGTCTGCTTCCAGTCAACAGGGCTGGTTCAGCCAGCACGGCTAATCCCAGGGCGCATGGGGCCCACTGCAAGCCCGGGGCATGGAGCAGTGGCCGGGGCCCACTGTAAGCCCGGGGCACGGGGCAGTGGCTGGGGCAGGGGGCATGGGGCCCACTGCAAGGCCGGGGCACAGGGCAGTGGCCGGGGCATGGGGCCCACTGCAAGCCCGGGGCACGGGGCCCACTGCAAGGCCGGGGCACAGGGCAGTGGCCGGGGCATGGGGCCCACTGCAAGCCCGGGGCACGGGGCAGTGGCCGGGGCACGGAGCCCAGGGCCCACTGCAAGGCCGGGGCAGGCCTCTTCTGAGAAGCCCGGAACCAGGAACTTGACCTCTGAGCTCCTGATTCTCACCTGTAGGCCAGAACACCTGCCATTCTGCAGGAAAGGGGCAGAAGGCAGCGCTGGAGATGTGGAGGGTTTAGAGGTATCTGGTTTGACACAGTCTCCAGGATGCCATGCACACGCTGTGCCACTAAGGCAGTGTCTTAGCCTCCCTATTTTGCTCTTTGTTTTAAGACAGGGTCTCAATATGTAGTTCTAGTGGGCCTGGAACTCCCCATGTAGACCAGGCTGGCCTCAAATCACATGGATCCACCTGCCTCTTCCTCCCATTGCTTTTAGATTAAAAGCATGTACCACCCTGCCTGGCCTTCCTCTGCCTCTTCATCAGTACATTACATTATAATACTTGGTAGACTTGCTACAGGTGGCAGTTAATACATTTAAAGCTGCTTTAGAATGGTCTCCGGTCCACAGTATAAATATTAGCTCATATTAAAATTTATGATAATATTAGATATGAGTAGTAACTGATTTGTAAATGATATAAAATAAGTTAACATAAACATGAGGCTGATGGCAGGTCTCAAGAAGTCTTCTCCCACCACTGGGTATGGACTGCCGTTCTCTAGAGTGCTTTTCCTCCCTAATGCCCACTCCTACCCACATTAAACCCATTCAAGTTTAATAAACCCAGCAAAGCTAGCCGTTGGTGGCACACGCCTTTAATCCCAGCACTCGGGAGGCAGAGGCAGGCGGATCTCTGTAAATTCGTGACCAGCCTGGACTACCAAGCGAGTTCCAGGACAGCCTCCAAAGCCACAGAGAAACCCTGTCTCGAAAAACCAAAAAATAAATATAAATAAATAAATAAACCCAGCAAGATGGCGCTGCAGGTAAACGCACCAGCTGTGTCAGCCTGACAACCTGAGTTCCATCCCCAGAAGTCACAGTCAAAGAGAGAACTGATGCCCAAAAGCTGCCCTCTGACCTCCACACATGTGCACACCCAGACACATTTTTTTTTTTTTTTTGGTTTTTCGAGACAGGGTTTCTCTGTGGCTTTGGAGGCTGTCCTGGAACTCACTTGGTAGTCCAGGCTGGTCTCGAACTCACAGAGATCCGCCTGCCTCTGTCTCCCGAGTGCTGGGATTAAAGGCGTGCGCCACCAATGCCCGGCCCCACATATTTTTTTTTAAAGAGCAAAAAGCTAGCCATGCAGAGGTATCTTTAATTCCAGCCCTCAGAATGCAGAGTTGGAGTCCAGCTAGCTCTATAGAATGAGTTCCAGGATGGCCAGAGCTATGAGAAACCTAGTCTCAAAAACAAAAACAATCAAAAGCAAAGAGTTAATTTTTAAAATGGTAATCTTTTTCTCTTAATAAACTCCCACCTTTGCTTCAAAACCAAAACTTACATAGTGCCTGCTGTGTTCCAGGTACCTCTAAGAACACCACAGCTGCCAGGCGTTGGTGGCGCTCACCTTTGATCCCAGCACTCAGGAGCAGAGGCAGGTAGATCTCTGTGAGTTTGAGGCTAGCCTAATTTACAGAGCAAGCTCCAGAATGAGCTCCAAAGCTACACAGAGAAATCCTGTCATGAAAAACCAAAAAGGGGGGAAAATACATCGATCAATCCATTAATTCCCTTAACAGTCCCAAGCAATCAGTGCTGTTCTTATCCATTTATCCATGTTATTGACACTGGGTCACCAAAGCCAAAAGAGACTAATTAATTATCCAAAGCACAAACTTTATAGTGGGACTGGAACCCAAGTACATTATGTAAGGGTCCACACTCCTAGGCCAAGCGTGCTGCCACACGCTGAAGAGAGGCAGGCAGATCTTTCTGGGTTAGAGTTCCAGGCTAGGCTAGCCAGGGCCATGAGGTCTCATCTCGGTCAGCACTTTTGAAAGAGTCCATGTTTCTCAGTGACCTCATTGAAAGTGAGAGCGAATGAACACAGGCAAGAACCCCCCGCCTCTGGTTTTTGTTTCCATTCGTTTTTGATTTGTTTCTAGACAGGGTTTCTCTGTGGAGCCCT